ATCAACAGAATGGTCAGCTGCAGACTAAACATCTTGGAGGGCAGGCATTCAACATGCTAAGACCTATTAGGGCCTGCACCCTAATGGTGGAGAAAGAAATGGAAGCACCACTGACTGAGGTCCTTGAGAAGGACACAGGAAGCAACCTAAGGTCCAAGCATCTTCACATGGCTAACTTGAGAACACCATGCAACCTCAGCATGTGTCTGGGATGAGAGCAGCCACTAGCTCCAACGAGACCTACAGCTTCCACCTACAGCTCAGCCTTTCATCCCTGAATTAACTAGGTCTTGTACCTAAAACTGCGAGTGCTTCCATTGCAATGAAAGCTCCAGTAACAGGAAAAACATATCCTGGAACAACCACACTTGCAAAAACTAAAATAAAACTGGCAGTAGTGTTTAGATCCTTTGGCAGAAAAATAGAAAAATACCCCCTTGCCCTTAAAAGTGAAGGCCCTGCTCTTATACTGCCTTCACAGCTCTAGAGCTATGGGTATTTAAGGCATTTCTTTAAGCCCACAATACAACAACTCATGGGATGCAAGAGAAAAAGTCTAATAAAATAGGAAGCCATTGAAAATCAGGCAGAAATGAGACAGACCGTCTTTTCCCTCTTATGCAGTGACAGGGAAAGGATTCCAACCTAGAAATGCAATGTCAAATGATACAACACTAACAGGATCTCCCCATCTTTTGGTCACTTTTCCTTCCCATTTTGATCACTTTTGAATCCAGCAGTAAATTTTATCCTGCTATGGCAGGCAGATGAAACCTCCAAGATAAGTTTTTAAAGTTTCCTGGAAAAGAGGCTAAAGTTTTAGTAGAGGAAAAAATGATCTCTCAACCCTAACCAAGGAAAAGGTTGTAATGCAACTTTATATTTATTAGAAAGGGAATCAGCCTGAGAGACCAACCTCAATGGACAAAGCTGCAGGAAATCAGGCTTTGCTAATTCAATTATTCAGGAAACCATTTATTTAAAGCAACAACTCCATGTTTCTGCAAACAGGGAAAATAGTCCTTCACCTGGCTTTTTTTCCTAACTTATTGGAGTACACTGCAATACCCTACATCTGACCTCAGACAGCTAGTTTCACCTTCTATCACAATTAATAACAGCAGTGGCAGAGGTGTGGAAATACCTGCAGCTAAAAGTTCAGGTCAAACACACTAAACAAACGCCTGGCACCTAGGAAGACCACTTGCAGAACAAGAGATAGCATTTTTGGGAGCACCATGTGGAGTGAAGGCAGGAACAGCACGGCACCATCCCTCAGCACTGTGGTACACCACACTACACATACGTCCTGCAATGCTCCTGTGACCTCAGAGGACACAAATCTGGATGATGGTGACAGAACCACCCTTTCCACCATGTAATGAAAAGAGGAGACCATGGGGGACAGGAGTGCAAGCCCCGTTCTCAACCTGCAGATCCAAACAGGCAGCACCAGAGAGGCAGGCAGTCCCGGAGCGCACAGGCATATCCCTCCTTTCCCCAGAAGCTATGAGCCACACAAGTCAAAAGACGGGCCAATGTCAACCTTAAAAATATAGCAGCACTGTTTTTACCCCCCCTTTTTTTTTTCTTTTTTTTAAAAAAAAAACCATCAGAATTAGAATTCTGGGTAGAAAATGAAAACTTGATATTCTTACTTTTGGCACATCTTTTATTTACTACCTGATATGATTTCTAAGTGCAGAACACTATTAAGGACATCTCTCAAGATTTAACAGACCTACAAAAAGAGCTACATAAACTTGAATAGCTATCAGTTCTAACTGGAAAATTCATCTACTTGAACAACCCAGCTACAAGATACCATCCACCCAAAATGAATGTTAATGATCTAAATTACATTTATTTAACTCTGGAAAAAACATATTCATTGTAATAAAGACTTTCTGCAACAGCTGCTTTCTTTAACCATGATCTCAACTTTATTCTCTTGAGAATCACTAGTGAAGAAAAGCCAAATAGAAAATCCAGTTTCCTGTCAATTTAAGCGGAGTTTTTATGTAATCAAAAGCATTGTGAAGGCCCTAGCCAAACTGTATTCTCACTGCATTCTAAAAATAGGTCTATCAATGAGACACAAGCAAAAGAAGAAACATTTAAGCTCATTACAGCTCAGAAATCTAAATATCACAATTATCTTCAAAGCAAGGTTGTACACTGCCCAGTAAAAAAACAACTGCAGAAATTAAAGTTTATAAATGGCCAAATTCCTTCAAAGTAAGTTTCCAGGGTCTACCTGGCAAGGATGCAAGTCACAGAGTAATGTCCAGTAAGATAATTTTAAACAATTTTGCAAATGCAAAATCAGCATAACCGAAGTACACTGCAGTCTGTCAGCTCGCTGCTATATCCTGTAACAACAGGAATCTGGGCTGCAAAAAACTGACAGGAACAATCAACCAGACATTTAGCATGGTCTGACTTAAGAAAGTACCAATCACACATCATCCACTTCGCACCAGGGAAATTTTTTTGAGTGAAAATTAATTGTCATGTTAACTTACAATAAAATTTTCATATCAGCTACAGACAAATGGCAATTACACACAAATGACAACTGCACTTAAATAGCTCAGAAAGACAATACTAAGGTTCTCATTCAGCTCTAGGAAAGCAGATCCACAGACAGAGGCATGCATAAGATATCAACAAGGCAAAAATACCACAAAAAATTCCTCACACACTACAGGACATCAAGCACATTAAACTACTGTATTTTAGGAAAAAATGAGGGACCTAACATGAGAGTTGTTTTGTATAACTTTTACAAAAGTTTCATCTTTCCTCAAGCACTTAATCTCTCTTTCTGGACACAGGGTTAACTTCATCTTCAGGGAAACACTGAAGGAGAGGCCAAATTCCTTCTTGATTTTCCAGCTTGATTAACAGTACCCACAAAACGGCTGAGGATGCTTGGATGAGACAGAATTAAGAACTTCTATCCCATTTGGGTTTTTTTGTGTATTAATCATGTTATACAAACATGCCCTCATCAAGGTTGGAATACATCAAGTAAAAAAGGCAAGGACCATTTTTCATTTTAAAAATGTGACACTGCATGCTAATGAAACGTGGTTTATTCTGTTTATTACCATAGCCTGTAAAAAGGTTATCCACGCTATGTTTGCTGGTGTAACTCCAGCAATACGTCCTATTTAGCATAGATAATTCTTACATCAAAAGTAGTGCTTGAGCCAGCAGAATAAATGTCCCCAGAGATTTCTGGCACTATGACATCCACCTTAGGGCTTTCACTTTATCTTCAACAACACTAAGGAGTTCAGTTTTTTTACAGACTCCAAAGTGACATTTCAGTGTCAATGAAACACATTACTATCAGGGATTACCTGACAGGGAAACACATTACTATCAGGGATTACTAAACAGAGTAGGTTGGTCATGCTAAAGCCATGCCATTCACCACTGAGCATCTCAACAGTTTCATCCTCTTGGTAATTTAAGTTATTTCTCCAGGAGCAACACGCAAAAAAAAAAGAAAACGCACAATGAAAATGCAAAAAGCCACGAGCCACTGTAGTAGCAGCACCTACTAACTTCACTCTGTTGAGCTGCTCCACAACTTGTTTCACACCCTGCCAGAATGGTTATGAAGCAGCAGTCAGGGAGGCCCCTGCATTAAGAAGAGTATTAGCAAATGTGGTTAGTGCTGTCCTGCAGGTCCACAGGACTGTGTGGAGAGGCTCAGAGCAGCTCCCAGAGGGTAAGCAAGTGGATGCATGCTCAGCAATCCTCCTGTCCCACTGAAGACTGAAAGAACCACAGACAAAAGACCAAATCTACACCAGGATCTCAAACTACAGAAAAGACACATTTTTCCCAGGTGGCTCATAAAAGAGCAAGAGAATAATCAGAATCTAAGGGTGGGCAGGGTGAGCAAAGGAAAAGAAATATCAATACTATTGGGACCATAAGGTACTTAAATACGTAAAACAATAGGAATAAGCTCGCTGGCTAGTCTGCTGCAGACAGAAGTAGTAATGGGTTTCTATTGCAGAAACAGAGATTTATGAAAATTAACCACAAAATAAAGTGCCTGGGGAAGATGTCTAACATCATACCAGAGAGACAACCATTAGGAACGGAGTCCTTCCCTTCAGTGCAACCAAGAAGGAGATCTGGAAAGGGCCTCACTACTGCCTATCTCCTCCGAGTCATGATCCTTCATCTATGGAATTGATTTAAATGGGAAAACAGGTGTACCATGGTAAGATGAGAACAGTGTAGGTCCTGCACCGCCCTACATCACCACTTGCTCTCATCTCTCACTTCCTCTGCCAGCACCTGAATATGCTGAAACCTTCCACAAGCCGAATTTAAAGGAGTTTGTGGAAGGATCTGAGCACTGACAGGCATCCAGAGGCTATGAGATTAGTTAAGTGCATTCCACTTGTTATATACCATGTGGTTTAAGAACTCCGCACCACCTGCAGCCAGCGGCTACCACCCAACCGCCTCCCGCAGCAGCTCAAAGGATCCGTAGCCCTTTGGGAATTGCTCCTTGCGGCGCAGGGCTTTGGGAATGCCTCTCTCCCTGTCAGCGCCTCCACCCGCATGCCGCTGCCCGCTCCCGGCTCCCGCCCGTCCGCACGCACCTCGGCACAGCCCGCGCCCTCGGGACAGCTCCCTGCCGAAACACGAGCGGAGCCCGCCCAGGAAACTGGCAGAAACACCGCCGTGGGCACTCGGAGAGCCTGGACAGGCACTCCGGCTCGCTGCAGGGCTGCTTTTCCTCTACCACGCCGGCGGCCCGGGGAGCCCGGCGCGCAGCCCGACCCGGAGCCCGCCGAGCCGCGGCCGCAGGGCAGCGCAGGGACGGCCCCTGCCCACCCCGGCCCCGCTGCCGCGGGGAGCGCCCACCGCCTGGCTCCGCGGGACCTCGCTCCCCGCCGCGGCCGCGGGAATGCCCGGGAACGCCCGCCCGCCCCGCACCTGCCCCGCTCCCCGCGCCCCGAGCCTACCTGGCCGGCGCAGCAGCGGGCAGACATGCTGGCGGAGCGGGCCAACGCGGCTCCCCCGGCGCTGCCGCACGCAGGAGCGCGCAGGGCTGGGGTGTCCTGCCCTGGGCAAGGCTGGGATGTCCTGGGATGGGCAGGGCAGCCCGGCACCGCCTCTGCCCCGCTGCCGGCCCGGCCCCGCCACCCGGCTTCCGCTGTCGTCAGCCGCCTGTGGGCTCCGCCGCCGCGCTGCCCGGGCCCGCCGCAGCCGCCGTGCTGCGCTACGAGCGGGGCCAGCCTCGGCAGGCTGTCCTGCTCGCAAGGACGCTGCTGAGACCGCTTGCCTGCTAATATACTTACTAAAACACCTGGTTTTGAGTAGCTGGGATCTAATAAATTCAGTGAGTAGGGCATTTAAACGTGCGGGTCTTAGGAGGCCGGGCATGGAATTGAAGTATAACGCTGTAGTGCACCAGCCCCGGTGCAAGCCGCTTTGGCGCGTCGCACGGCCGGCACACACGCCCGTTCCTGCGTGGAAAAGCCATGTTTGTTCCAAGGACAGCTGTGAGGCCGTGCTTTCCTAACAGGAGCTGAGACCTTTCCCCGATGTTTCCAAAATACTTCCTTCAGTCTCCACCTAAGAATCATGAGCAGTACTGGTCAGTAGTCAAGGATTTCTCAGCTTCCCATGTGATGACAGGAACTTGCAAAGCCAAATTCAGATATGACAGGCGTCATCGTATCAGATTAATGTGTCTTTACAAACACACTGCTTGTAGAGAAGGCCAGAGATAAGGTAGATAAGGAAATAACGAGAAAACCCATTAATTTTAGAAAGCTTTACTAATTGATGCAGACAGCTGCTCAGCCAAGGTCACGCTAAGCTCCTGAACTTTGTGAAGAACAAAGATTTGATAGAGGTATGAATACTACTTTCTCTGCCCAGGGCAGACTTAAAACTAATTTTAATGATCACGTATGTTCTAAAGGAGGGCTACATATTAAGGAGATGTGTTGTAGATGGATATGGGAAAGTCTGTACTTCCACAGGACTCCTCTGTCTCCTTTGTGGACACTAAACTGTCGTGACAGGAATTTTACACACAGATAGGAATTACTACTGTAATGCTATAAAAAATAGAAATTAAGGACTCTCTGGAAAGACCCTGGTCTTGACTGCTCTGTGTGTGTGTGTGTGCGTGCTGTAATATTTAATATAACTATTTTAAACTCTATTTCTAGTCCTAACTGCTCTTATTTTAGGAATTCAGTGCAACTAAAAGCTATTATCCTGAATAGGAGTATGTACGTGTAGATAATGTAGCAACACTTAGCAAGGAAACTGGGATGGATTGCAGGATGTAAAACCCCTTCCTCTTTCCTCATGTATGCAAACAAACAGAGTTTATGCTTCAGGAAGTGGATCACATGATGAATCAGCATTACATAATTTGGTGTTATACTAGGGACTGAGGAGACCCGTTACCATAGTGGTACAGTTAATAAAAACCAGATATGTACTTTGTTTTTAGTGGTGTTCCAAAAACTGCATATACTTAGCCAGAGACAAGGTATTTACCAGTCTTACAAGATTAATTCTGTCAACCAGATGGTTGTTAAACTGCAAAGGACATCAGTGGGCATCTGAGAGGACCTCAGCACAGTTCAGGCATTGATGTAGCTGATGCTTGTGCTTTGTAGCAGCAGCAAAAGTCCCAGCCTCAGGTGAGGACTCCTGGAGCCAGGACTGGGGCTGGGGACTCAGTACACCTTCTTTGATTTGTAGCTCCTTTCCCCAGAAGCTGCAGAGATCGACTCAAGAATTGAATGAGGATCAGGAAAGCAGCATGACCGGCCAACAGGCAGTGGAAAACCACTGGTGAGTTTAACTTTGAAACACAGTCAGCTTCCCAAAGAATGTGGTTAAGACATGGGAACACAAGGATCACAGACTAGTGAAAAACTGCAAAACTGCAATCATCTTCTATTTCTGTTCCAGACTTCTTATACAATTGCAAGAAGCTGTCTGGTCAGGCTTTGTTAAATTTCCACATCTGCAAAATCAACTCAAAACATGAAGGAGAATCTGAGGTTTAATTTAAAAATGAAGCTGTCTTACAAAGAGAGACTGGTGAAGGTGATGTATGGGCATGGTGGAAGACTTCGAGGGGCTGTACCACACATCAGCATGTCTGCAATAGCAACAAGCATTCACTGCATGGGGAGCACCATTAATTCACTGCTCTGTGCAGATCTGTTAATGTCAGACAGTGCTGTTATGAACAAATCCAGCCTCTGCGCTGGAGAAAACAGCAGAGCTCTGTAATGGCTTTCCAATCAGTTAGAGCACCCTAGAGCTCTGGGATGTGTGCCTTGGCTTTTTCAGTAAAAATTCATCACCAGAAAGGCTTGGACTTCCCTGCTGTGTTGCTGGCAAACATTCTGCAGACTAATAGCAAAGCAGTGTGCAGATGTTATTACATGGAAAGAATTGTCATTCTCAAACTATCAGTGCATTTAGAATAAGGTTTATCCATCAAATACACATTCTAAAATCAGAGAAGGGTGATCTGATTTACTGGGCAGAAATCTTCAACCAGTAGTAATTCCTACCTCAAAATCTTCCTTTTGGCAGGGGGTCTCTTTGAGGAGATGCTAATTCTGATTTAGGGCTTTCAAGTGACAGGGAATTCACTGCATCACTGGGGAAATGCAAGATGCCTTGGTCTAGCTTTGTATGGGGAATTTTATGCACACAGACTTACAGAGTTCTAGTAAGTCAGAAAGAAGGGAGGCATGGAGTGTCCCCGCAGGACAAAAGACAGCCAAGGAGTACCCAAGAACTGACTTAAAACTCTGATCTCCATTCAGGTGCCAGGGAGCAAAGAAGGAAGGAAAGCACTGGGTTAGAAGCTGTAACCATGGGGCAATTCTCAGGAAAACCCCTGGTTAGAAGCCAGTTGTGCCCTGGGAGCAAACCATTCTCCTCACCAGAACGTGCACAGTGGAGCAGCAGCACCTGAAGCCCTTGAAGATGTCACTTTTAGGCAGCCCACAATATAGCCAACCCATTTTTAGACATACTGGTCACCTCTGGCACATCAGCTTTGCTCAGGTCACTGGGAGAGGCGTTATTGCCCTCAGATGCCAACCACAGTTTCACCTGCAGGTGTTGCACCTCTACACATATCTGCTTTACTCTTGCCCCACTCAGTGCTACATGCACTATTGTTGCAGAAGCAGAGGTACTCATCATCCTCCTTCCCTGTGAGTGGAACGCATTGCCTCTGCAGAGAACTCAGAAGATGTTTGCGGTGAAGCAGAAAGCTTTTTGGCATAGCACAGGGAAATCATAACTTACCAGGAATGCTCAAAGACTCTCTGCTTCCTCAGTATGAACCAGCTCCGTGTATTTTAGGATAAGAATATTAGGAATTGCATTGTTCTCATCTTCTGAAATAAAGCTACAACTCAGAATGATGTTTTCAGTATTATGTAATTTCAATTTTTCTCGGTAATTAAACAGTTTTGGTTTGTGTCAATTGGCAAAATGAAGAGCACAAAATGTCTGCATCCAATAAGAAGGAGAAATACACCACTTGGCTGTTTTTCAGGTGAAATTAAATACAGCAATTTTCTTCCAAATGTGTGTGCAAGCAGAAGGAAAACAAAACCACATTGTTACATGTTGTGGTGGTCACTTCTGTAAATTTAGAATTTCTATGCCTGTTAAAACAAAAAAGGCTTGAAATTGCTTTTTAAGAAAGTGTGTATTTTCCTTGAGCCTGGTAGTTAAGAAACCAGACAAAAATATGGTTATGGGAAGGAAAAGAAATGTCTACACATGTGCACACACATGTTCTGGGAACCACAACAGATTCCCAGTGGGAATTCTGACGTGAACAACAGCCTCGCTGTTTGCTACAGTTGTTTCCTGTGGAAAAGAGATTCTAGTGTGGGGAAGCACTGCACAGGTGTGATTAGACAGCAGAAATAACTTACTTATCACCTGTAGTTTTACTTGTGTGTCATTGCATGACTGTCTGTGTCGTGCAGTCTAGGTGGCTAAATACCATAATAAAGTCACATCTTTCTCCATTTGTTCCTAAGTGTGCACCAGTATCTGAATTATGGATCACATCTCCTCACATTCTTGTAGGTAACCAAAGGTTTCCAGAAACCCTGTCCTTTGGACACCTTCCAAAAACCAGCATACCCTAGTGTGAAAAATGCATATTATGTGATTGGCTCTTCGCAAATATTAAAATGAACACTATATGTGTTATGTTGGAAAGTTATGCTGTGTTAATCTATTTTAAGGAGTGCTGTGTTAATCTATTTTAAGGACTGTGGTAAATATAGTTTTTAGGCTATAGCATAATATTAAAATATAAACTATGTGATTTAAGATACTTTTTGTAACTAGCTCAAGGAATGGAAAAGATAATCAAGAAATTCTTTGGATTATCCTATTTGGGTAAAGATAACAGCAACAGACACCAAGATCCCAAGAGAAGAGTTATTGTCTCCTTATCAGGAAAGCTCAGACTCTGAGGAACCAAGAAGGTTGATTTACAAGATGGTGGGGGGAAGCTGAAATTAAGCAGAAACACCCTAGTTTGAAAGGAATGTTTGAATCATGTATGAGATACATGAATATGCAATAGGCTATTGCTTTTAAGGGTTATCTTTTGATAGCAAGGGGTGCTTTTTGGTGGAGTGCCAGGCACCCAGACATCCATAATTCTTTGCTTTTTATTGTCTCTTACTCCTAATTTTTATTACTATTTTCATTACTATATTCATTACTATTAAGGTTCTAAAATTTTAACAAAAGTGAATGGTGTTTTTCACACCAGGAATCATGCCAGGAGCAGCTGGAACAGCACAGTATGTCCAAGCTGTGGGCCTGAGAAAAAGAAAGTTGGATTATCCCAGTACTTGTTACTGCTGTGGCTGGATGATCACCCTTATGACTGTGTGTGGAGGCTGGGGAGGCAGAGTGAGCAACCACCACAGCAACCCAAGGATCTGCCAGCACAAGGCAGGAGCAGCCTGCAACTATCAATCCCTGAGGGGGAGTGATCACAGACACTATCAGTGTACGTGGGGCCTGACACACAGATGTAACTTCCCCTGTCAGAACAATGAGTTGGTCATAATGCTAAATGGTGGTATCTTCCTCTGTGTCTTTATTAGTGTTTTGTAATTCACACAGAAAATATATTCTGGCTGGCAGCAGTTATTGATTTCTAAAAAAATTATACATGCATTTAAGTATTCAAATTTGGTTAGATTCTGGTCAAATGAAACTTGCTGGACTTGAAAGAAAGTATTGCATAGCATTTGAAGAATTTAGTTTTAAAAAAAACCAACAAGGCTGGTATTTCCAGGCAAAATTGCTTAAAGAACCTTGTTTTTTTGAGAATGATAGTTCAATGAACTGGTTGATTATCTGTTTTTCCAGTCCAGTGTTAGTTTAGAATGGATTAAGATCTGCATTTTCTATTAAGGAAATGCATAAATTACCCCTTTCTGAGGGACTTAATGTTTGTAAGGGAAGCACAGAAGTGGGGCATTACAAGGTTTGCACTGAACTCCCCAGTGTTGCATTTGCATGCTCTTCATTGCCCCTTTTTAGCACAATGCCATGAAATGCCACTTACAAATGTTATTCTTTCTAAGCCCCCTGCCACTGGACGCAGTACAACATTTCCTTCCTACTCAGCATTTCATTA